GCCCAAAATGTAATGAATGTCACGTGAGCAATATTAATCACATTCCATGAAATTTCATGTCATATGAACATAGGTTCCATAACTCATCATTATACTCAATATACCACTAAGCATAAATTCACATATCGCAACAACTCAAACATGTTATTACATCAAAATAACAACATTAAATTACCCAAGGCATTTTATCAAACACTTTCAAGGCACAATTTATTTTATCGCACAAATCATATTATAACACCAATTTGCCCATATCATGTCAAGGTACATTTGAACACATAGCATATCAAATTCCAAGGAAATCACACAAGTAATTTCCTATGCCAAACTTAACTAGGAATTGGTCTAGGCCAAATTTCACACTCATTTCCATAACCATAGTTAAAAAACCTAGGTTGTTCTACATCCTTACACATTCCCTAATACAAACTAGGTAAGAAATCAACCCAAGTAGGAGAATCCCTACCTCTTGAAGCATAAAAGAAAGGTAGAACCCTCTAGGCACCTCCTAGCTCTAAAATCTTTGATTTTTCCAAAGCTCCGTCTTTGAATATTCGGTGAAAATCTTTGTTCTTGGTACGTATGCGTAGCTCTCGTCGCGTAGACCAACTTTAATTCTTGGATCGATGGATTCCGACCGGCGAAACTCCAGAAATCGAAGGAGAAAAGCTTGAGATTTTGTTTTCCCTCTTTTCTCTCTTAACCGTGTGAACCAGCGAGCTATGGGGTGTAAAAATATCTGATTTTTCAGATGTTAACCCTTTTTTATACTTTTAATCCCGCGGTCCACATCGTCTCGCTCGTTTATTACTTTCGGGTCCGTTTTTAGTCCCAAAATGATTCATTTTAATCCAGTTTAAGTCCAAATTAATTTTATTGGAACTTTAACTCAATTATAAGGAAATTTTAAAATTTCTATTTTTGGGAACTTTTAAAAGTCATTCGTCACCCAAATCGTCTCAGAATACGTGAAAATTTTAACTATTTCAGAATTCGACGAAAATTGACAGGTCAGTTCGATTTCACGATGCGAATTCAACGGTGAAGTTCGTTGTTCCATCCGAGCTCTATAAAAATATGCATTTTAATCCCGCATAATAATGACAAATTACCATTTTACCCTTAGTCGGAAAAAATTCAAATTTCCCTGGGTTTCACACAAGGCAACATAAGAAGGTATATATTCACAAGCATTTGAAGATAATTCATACATATAAGAGTTCAACAACATCCGAAGATAGTTCATACATGTTAAGTTTGAAAAAATAAATAAAACTAAGACTCAGCCCCATCAAAAGAGTTGGCATCAAGGTACAACCCCTTGATATCTGGAATAGGGAAGCCAGTCTCGGTCCAAGGAACTTCTTCCCAGGTTGAAGAAGAACCATCAATCCCAGCCGCTTTGAGTGCTCATCCCCAGTCAACCCCGAAGACTTTGTTTTTCCACCTAGCAATTTGTCTTTGACCATGTCTAGAAGCTTGATCAAAGACAACATTCTTAATTTGTTCCTTTACTCAGTAGTCTCCCTTTTCGACACAACAAGCTCCCCTTCAAGCAAACTCGCTCGGGCTTCAACTCAGTATCCTCCTTCTTCAAGGAGGCAATCACTTCTCTGTTCTGCTTTTCAGTCATGGCTGTCTAACGCTTGAATTGCTCATAACGATGGGTTAACTCAATAACTGATAAACATAATCAACTAAACCAGTCGACATCATCTTTGACATCTTCTCTTTATCTCTCGAAAGCATTATACTATCACCTAGCACTCTGGCCACCTCAACATTCAGGAACACTGAGTAAAAGGAAGATCTCCTTATCAATAGTTGAGTTAGGACCTCAAGCCCGCTTAGCAAAGGACTTCACCCTTTGGGTAGACTTCTCCCCAACAATATGTGTAGACAGCTGCTTGACTTTTCCTTTGGCAACCACTGGCTCATCCACATACAAATCATCAAACCTATGCATCGTAAGGAAACCTCCTCCCATACCTAAAATTTAAGAGTATTAGAAGAGAGAAAACAACAAAATGCTAAGTCAAGACATTGAAGAAACAAGGCAATATTAGCTTACCAGACGTAGGGCGAGCCTCCTCACTCACTCTTGTTGCAGCCTCGTTGGCACTCTTACTACTCCCTTCTAGTGGCTCACTCATGTCTTGAATATCTATATCTTGCCCAAACCTCTTTCCTCAGATCGTCTCTTTAACGTAATTCTTTTTGCTATAAAAGAGTCTTGGTCTGAAGTACTCAGAAGCGTCCTTAGCAGAGGTGTCAGGTGGGAGGAAACTATAGGTAGTATACGATGGGAAGAAACCAACCAACACTAGAACAGACCTAACAAAGGCCTTGAACATGTGACCTTGCAAAGGCGCAAACAAGGATCTTACAATAGCACTGTTTCTTTGCCTCTTGATCACCTTAATGTTAAGAGATACTGGGCAAGTAAGGAAAAAGAAAAGTGTCAATACAAATAACAAATGTTCAACTTTTAAGTTAACACTAAGGTGATGCAAGTGACTAACCTAGATCACCAATGACATGCGGGCATGGATGGTCATCATCCATGTTAGAAACTCCCAATCTCCTTTTACTACCATAAACTCATATTTGTAACTTTTGGCTGAGAAAGTTAGACAGTGAAGAAAGGGAGTATTCCTGCTCCATCTGTAATACTTGTTCGAATTTTGAACGACCTTCAGGTAGTAGCAAAATAAAACATCCCAATGAGTGAGCTTAGCATCATAGATCTTAGCTAGATTCATCATTCAACCAAGTATCCTAAAGGGGTTAACATTAAGTTGGGATGCATAAAGACCCACGGTATGCAAAAACTCCCGCACCAAACTAGGAATAGGGAACCTGATCCCTCCTTCTATATTGGCAACAATGGGCTATTTGTACCAACCATCTTGGAAGTCTGTCATGCCCCAAGAGGCTACCCTCACCTCGACATTCTTGGGTAGGTTAAAATCTTTTTTAAGTTCGCTAAGGATTGCTCATCTGCAATAAGACTTCTATAAATTCCCATTATTCAAGCTCATAAAGGCTACCTAAGCAAAACAAAATGGTCAAAGACGACTCAAGAACAATCAAGGAAGTTCAAAAGGACGAGGGGGCCTAGTTCGTCGAGCCCAAGTCTCCTATTGCCAGCCAGCACTAGCTCAACACTCAGCACTGCCATTCATCATAGGCCTTGGTTGGCTACTGCCAGTCGACACAAGCCTTGGCTAGCCATTGCCAATCGGCACATGCCTTGGCTAGTCTTTGCCAGCCGGTATTCTCAATACCCAAGCTTGAATCCTTTACTTCAAATTACAAACATCTAAGATCATGAAATTTTGTAAGTCTTTGAATCAAAATGGGCATGTGAAGAACAGACGAACAATGAGTGAAGAACACATGAAGAACATTCAAAAAATCAAGCAAGGAAATGAAGAACATTCAAAAATTCAAGCAAGGGAATGAAGAACATTCAAAAATTCATGTGGAAAAGTAAAGTTTATTCAAAGATTCATGCTTGAAACTTTTATAAAAAAAATTAAATTTACCTCAAGAAGCAAATCTCTAAGTGGAGGCAGCTTTAATGATGGCGACGACGTTGGCGGCTTTCCAAGCTCCAAGTTTCCTCCCATCTCTTCTCACTAGCCAAACTACAAAGCAATATGAGAAATGAAGAAAGGGGAAAGGTAATTTAAAGCCCTAAGCTACTTAGGCAATTGAAGCCCTAGTCTTTTAGGCAAAAAAGGTCCATGTAGTCCAAAACATACCTCAATTAATAGGAATTCAATTAATTGAGATATGAGGGGCAATTGTGGGGCATTAAATACCCAAGCCAATGGACAGGTCCTTTGGGCATACATACTGCCAGACGACATTTGCTAAAGGAGGGTCATGCTAGTCGACATACACCTTGCCAATCGGCTTGGGTAGAAGCGTGGCCCTTGCTAGTCGGCAGGAGGCTCAATTGGCCATTAGCTAGCCACTGCCAATTGGCAAGTGGCTCACTTGGCCACTGCTAGTTGACAAATGGCTAGGATGAGTCTTTGTTCGTCCACGTTTGGCACCCAAGGCCACTTTAGATGGGTATTACTCGGTGAGAGATCAACCTAGGACCTAGAGTCCTAATTTAATACCACTTCAAATACTTAAGGGGTGGCGGCAACGCATTAAGGAGTTAGAGTCCAAATAAAATGCTACTCCGAGCACCCATGGTTGGTGATAAGGACCTAGGACAAAGAATTCTAATTTAACTCTATCCGGTATTTCTAGAACTTGGCGATGGGGTCGGGGTAATCAACCAAAAGTTTGGGTTACTTCGGGATATATCTCTCTATCACCATAAATAAAGGCCTCGGGTACCACCAAAAAATAGATGAAATTTTTGTCTATTCATTTCATACTTTCCTTTGACTGACGATTTAACTAAAGTATCGCAGTCCCTGTAGTCGTCTCCCACCATCGATTTACTTATGTGTTCTTTTCACTTACAAGTTTTCCAAAGTTATTTACTACCTTCTCGATCCGTACCAGGTTGATACTTTTTGTGTGGATTTATCCCAGCACATGGTAGTGTCAAAAAAATTTCACTTCCTTGTAAATCTTGAATTCAAATTCTAGCATTCTCACTATGATCTTTTTCGCATAACTACCAAGTTGGGTGATATTCGGACGTGGTCAACTTGATAGTTATCCAACAAAGATCATGGTGAGAATGCTTGAATTTCGATCCAGATTCAAAAATTACCCAATTGACCTTGAACTTCGGCTCAACAAGTTTTACGGAGCGCCTCTCTCACCACATTTTCGTTTCCCATGCAGATAGTTTAGGAGCACTGGTAGTGCAGCTATCAACTTGTGGTCTTCAACATGCACCCTCAGTCTCTCACCACCTCCTACTTATACATTATCTCTCTCTCTCTCTCTCTCTCGCTCTCTCTCCTCTCATTTCATAGCCAAAGATGACAAAAACCAGTAATCAATTCCTGGAAGAACATGAAGAAATGGAGAATGGAATGAAGAAAAGACAAGAGCCTGAAACACCCACCAATATCACAATCAAAGGCATTCTTAGTTTGTTAATGGCGAACACCGATTCAGATGATAAGAGGCGAGTAATTTCTTTGGGTATGGGAGATCCAACGGCCTATTCATGCTTTCGCACCACTGCTGTTGCTGTAGACGCCGCCATTGATACTCTTCATTCTGAGAAGTTCAATGGCTATGCCCCCACAGTTGGTCTTTCTCAAACCAGAATGTATTTCTCTTCCTCATTCGTATTTATATATTTTTGTGCGGCTTTTATTTCGTGAAATTCATTTTATAATAGCTTAGATTGATTTAATTTCATGGTTCTATGACCGTAGTGGACTTGTAATTCGAAATTCTAATCTGGGTTTCTTTCTCTCTCTCTCGTGAGGGGATATTGTGCTTTATCTAAAACAATTGTTGTTCATTATTTGCGACTATTTTCTGCTTTGATTATTACTTATTAGTCCACAAATGCACACAGAAATAGAAATATTGGTTCATGGTCTATATTTTGGCTTATTTTAAATTTCCATAATTGTTTTCCTTCTAACAGTTCCATAATGCTGAATTAGTAAAGAAGTTGTTGCTCAATGGGACGTTCAATCTAATTTCAATTGGTTGTTGGTCGCATTTGCTAGAAAACAAAGATTTCAGTTTCTGTTTCTATCACTTGTTTAAAAGATTTTTTTGTAATTTATCATATTCAATTTTGTTTTCTACTATTTTTGTTAGGCATCTCATATGTATGGGCGGCCACCTGCACACCTATACATCATGATTATTTTTTTAGATTATTATTCTTTTCTTAGGTTTGGGATTTCTATCCTAAAATAGTTGTGTGGATAGAAATTATGAATAATTGGATCGGATTAGGAGTTTATTGAGCCAAGAGTTGTAAATGGAAATGAGTCTAGTTTTTTTTTTTTTTTTGAAAAGGAGTCTAGTTTGGAGGTCTATTCTATTTATATCATCCTGAAAATTGTTTTTGGGCAGCAAAAATTTTAATAAAAGTTGGAGGACGATTCCTCTTGAAGTGAATCAATTTCTCACAGGATCCTTGGATCCTATCAGTTTTCATGCTAAGATGATCTAGAATTGCCAAACTAGTTCTAATATTGTTTTTCTTTCTGTTTTTAGTGCGTNAAAAACCAGTAATCAATTCCTGGAAGAACATGAAGAAATGGAGAATGGAATGAAGAAAAGACAAGAGCCTGAAACACCCACCAATATCACAATCAAAGGCATTCTTAGTTTGTTAATGGCGAACACCGATTCAGATGATAAGAGGCGAGTAATTTCTTTGGGTATGGGAGATCCAACGGCCTATTCATGCTTTCGCACCACTGCTGTTGCTGTAGACGCCGCCATTGATACTCTTCATTCTGAGAAGTTCAATGGCTATGCCCCCACAGTTGGTCTTTCTCAAACCAGAATGTATTTCTCTTCCTCATTCGTATTTATATATTTTTGTGCGGCTTTTATTTCGTGAAATTCATTTTATAATAGCTTAGATTGATTTAATTTCATGGTTCTATGACCGTAGTGGACTTGTAATTCGAAATTCTAATCTGGGTTTCTTTCTCTCTCTCTCGTGAGGGGATATTGTGCTTTATCTAAAACAATTGTTGTTCATTATTTGCGACTATTTTCTGCTTTGATTATTACTTATTAGTCCACAAATGCACACAGAAATAGAAATATTGGTTCATGGTCTATATTTTGGCTTATTTTAAATTTCCATAATTGTTTTCCTTCTAACAGTTCCATAATGCTGAATTAGTAAAGAAGTTGTTGCTCAATGGGACGTTCAATCTAATTTCAATTGGTTGTTGGTCGCATTTGCTAGAAAACAAAGATTTCAGTTTCTGTTTCTATCACTTGTTTAAAAGATTTTTTTGTAATTTATCATATTCAATTTTGTTTTCTACTATTTTTGTTAGGCATCTCATATGTATGGGCGGCCACCTGCACACCTATACATCATGATTATTTTTTTAGATTATTATTCTTTTCTTAGGTTTGGGATTTCTATCCTAAAATAGTTGTGTGGATAGAAATTATGAATAATTGGATCGGATTAGGAGTTTATTGAGCCAAGAGTTGTAAATGGAAATGAGTCTAGTTTTTTTTTTTTTTTTTGAAAAGGAGTCTAGTTTGGAGGTCTATTCTATTTATATCATCCTGAAAATTGTTTTTGGGCAGCAAAAATTTTAATAAAAGTTGGAGGACGATTCCTCTTGAAGTGAATCAATTTCTCACAGGATCCTTGGATCCTATCAGTTTTCATGCTAAGATGATCTAGAATTGCCAAACTAGTTCTAATATTGTTTTTCTTTCTGTTTTTAGTGCGTATGGCTGAAAATAATGTTCAAATTCCTATAATTTAATGTTCTACTATGTTTGTATTCATTGCTGTTGGGATATTTGCAATTCTATTTAGCTCAATTGACATTGCACAAGATATTCAAATTAAACAAACCATCTATCAAATCTTTAACTATTTATTGCATTCTGTTTATCGTGAGTGATACATCTTATGAATTCCTGGCTTGTCTCGTTTTAATTTCCTATTTTTTCAAAGTGACTTATCGAGAGAAGTAAAACAATACTCTAATTGATTTTTTTATGTGATCTGTATTAGTTTAGTTCTGTGTAATTGTTCATTAGTTGCAATGACTGTTGAAACTGAATTCAAACTGCTGATTTTGTGTTCCCCCACTTCATCTTTTTGAGAGGGGATGATGTATTCACGTGTTCTTGTTGAAAGTATTGGTCACTCACAATGATTGTTGTCTTACATAGCATGAATTTCAATTTATTTTGGTATTGTTCTCCTTTTTGACAGGGCAATTGCTGAATATTTGTCTCGTGATCTTCCATATAAGTTATCTCCTGATGATGTTTATGTCACAGCCGGTTGTACACAAGCCATTGACGTCGCATTGTCAGTTCTAGCTCGGCCTGATGCAAATATCCTGCTTCCACGACCAGGATTCCCAACCTATGGACTCTGTGCTGCATTCAGACATATTGAAGTTCGGCATTATGACCTTCTTCCTGAAAAAGACTGGGAGGTTGATTTTAATGCTGTTGAAGTTCTTGCAGATTGTAATACTGTTGCAATGGTAATTATAAACCCTGGGAATCCATGTGGCAATGTGTATAGTTATTGTCACCTAAAGAAGGTTAGTACAGGCCAGTTGTGCTCCTTGTATGTTTTTCTTTGTCTTTGTGAATCAGCATTGGGCTTAATTCAAAATGTTTGTGCTTTGCAATAGATTGCGGAAACTGCGAGGAGGCTTAATATTCCTGTTATTGCTGATGAAGTTTACGGACACCTTGCTTTTGGGGGTAAACCATTTGTGCCAATGGGAGTTTTTGGATCTATTGTTCCTGTTCTGACTCTTGGCTCTATATCAAAGCGATGGTTAGTGCCTGGCTGGCGGCTTGGTTGGTTCGTAACAAGTGATCCTAATGGCATCTTCAAAACCCCCAAGGTCCGTGACAATTATTTTTCTTGTTGGTTTTAGTTGATAGAGTGATACTAAATTTTGTCGATGAATTTCTCTTCTCCACAATCCTGTCGTATATGGCTAAGAATTAGATGCAAGTTAGTTTCACCAAGTTAATTGAAGTACAGACAATTATGTTTGACAATGTAAATGCTGGTCGACTGTGGTTCAGTTTTCCCTGTCATAATCACTTCATTTTTGTTTATTTCTCTTATTCTGCTAAGTGCATCTTCCATTTGTATGGGAAACCCAGTTATTTAAGAATTTTGTAAGTTTGTATGGATAACGCTATTTTGATGATTAGATTTGGAAAGTTGATTTTCACCAGTGCTAATCCATTTTTCTTTTCCTTACCTTTCAGATTATCGAGCGCATCAAAAAGTACTGTGATATATGTGGGGGCCCTGCAACCTTTATACAGGTTTATACCTCGTTACTTCAACTCCTTGCTTTATGAAATGAGTTCATGGGGTTCGTTGATCAGCACGTATGAATTCTGTTCAATTAGCAGGTAGACTTAAAGAGTTTAAATGAAATCACTACAAAAAAAGAAAAAAAGCATACCTAAAGATAAAAGATAAAAAGGTACCTACATGAAATATAGTTTTTCGGCATCAGTGATCCATAGCCTTAAAGACAACTTGTAATACAGTATAAATCTGCAGCCTTAGAGGCAACTTGTAATAGAGCATAAAATGCACCACATTTAGTCACTAGACCTAAAATTGTGAATAAAGAAAATAATATTGTTTGGTCCTAAGTTATTCTATTATTTTTTTTCCTACTGTGAGATGTCTAATAATTTTAACCAAGCTGAAATTTTAGTGCATGTCCCGAGAAACGAGAACCCATCAACTTATGTCTTTCCTTTCTCATAATAATGTTTTTGGTGTTTAGGCAGCAGTTCCTCGAATTATTGAGGAAACAGAAGAGATTTTCTTCAAGAGAACTATTAGTTTGCTGAAGCAGACCTCAGATATTTGCTGCAGTAGGATTAAGGAGATCCCCTGTATTACTTGCCCTCACAAACCTCAGGGATCCCTGGCTGTAATGGTGAGGATCGAGCAGAATTTCAGTTTCTTCACACATAGAAATAAATGAATTATAGAGGAAATGCTGCTTCTATGCTTCTATGCTTCATGCTTTTTTTTTTTTTCACAATGCAGGTGAAGCTGAATCTTTCCCTGCTGAAGGATATTAGTGATGACATTGACTTCTGTGTCAAGTTGGCCAAAGAGGAATCTGTGATCATTCTTCCAGGTGATAAGCAAAATATTGTATGCGAAATAAATTCAAACTATAAATTCCAATTTATTTATCAGCAAGTGCATTTATGTTGCAGTAAGATAGTCCCATTGGCCTATATATTATGCTGCTTTCCTTAATTTGTGGAATCAGAAATTAAAATAGAAGCTTTGTGCCTCGTGGAACAAGAGTTTCACCTATGATCCATGGCATGCGATGAAATGACCAAAAATGTTAGTTGCTTGGTTTTAGTGATTCATCGTATAGTTGCCAACAGGATGTCATGATACGACATATTATCTGCAGTTTCTTACAACGTAAATTCTCTCAACCATCTCTTATGATGAACTATGAAACTGCTAGACATGTTCAAGTGTGAAAGCTTTTATCAATGCCCCCTCGGAAGTTTATTACAAAACCACACCCAGCAATACACCAGTTCTCAGGGGTTTGGTGCATCTGATGTAGAAATTAGCAAACTAAAGGGGCAAGAATATATGAATCTGTAACAAGGTTGTAAGCGACTCTCTTACGGCGGAGACATTTCTTTTGCAGGGCTTGCAGTGGGTCTGAAAGATTGGGTCCGCATTACCTTTGCTGTTGAGCCATTCTTTCTCGAAGAAGCTATGGGGAGATTAGAGTCTTTCTATCAGAGGCACTCCGTTCAACCAAATGGCAAGTTTACCAGATTGAAGGAAACCAACACTTATTTTCTGGGGAAGTAATCATTAATTGCCACATATTTTTGCACAGTTCATTTGTTCTAAATATTATTTGATACGTTGATTATGTGCAATAATTGTTCCGAAGGATCATACGGCTATTATTTGTTAGACATGGCAGTATTATAGAGTAACTTCATTCCATATGTTGTAGATCATTTAACAGCTTCATGCTAATAAGTAAAATTTCCTGCTCATGTACTACGGGGCCGACAGTCATAATCCTAAATCTTATTATCTCTTCAAAAGTTAGGCCTTTTTACAGGTGATGTCGGGTTTAGTCTTCATGCATGCCATTCGACTTAAAAATTCAATGCTAGTGTATCTTACTTTACTTCGATCCATCATTGAAGCAGCCAGGAATTCCTGTTAATATGTGATATGACTCACAAGTGTTTACCACTAAAATTCCATTCCAACAAGGTTAGGTCTCTGGTTAAGCCGTTGAAAATCCTATGGCCGTTCAAGTTTGTCTTATTTACTGGACTTAGCTTTGTGCAAATCCAACGCTGCAGTTAAATTTTTTTTTTTTTGCAGGCATTACGCTGTCTTATACATAATTTCAAGTGCTTAAAGAATTGTACTCCTAAGTTGTCCAGCTCTTCAAAATAGGGCGGGTCCGAGTTGTTACATACATTGATTTCTTTATATTAACCACGTTAAGAAAGAGAGATCAGAATCAAATCAAAGCAGCAATAAATGTTTATCTATTGTTGAAAATTTCTGTGTAAAATGGGAATTTACTTGTTTTTCCACTTATCTCTCTTAAATTTTACTATCAAATTAATCTAAGATTTCTAACAGGAATTATCTTGAAAAGAGATAAAAAAAAATAGTATAATTATTCTGAGTGACAAACTTTTATTACCTACTTAAAGGCATCGAATTAGATAGTATTGGATAAGATTGCGATGTTAGATGCCTAGGTTACAAAGATCAAGTAATGTAATTTGATGATTTCTCATCAAATGGAATCTACCAAAATTAAATCTATGCTTGATTAATTTTTGTTTATCTCAAATGCTCATCTTATTGAGTTAAAACTTGTTATATTATGTCGTATCTAAGTCATAAATTTTCATGAGTTAGACGGGGTTTTAATGGATTATTAAATCTATTACAATCTCAATCTATTAAATTTAACCTCATGCCAAATATAATTTCCTATTTATTTGGTGAACTAATAACAAAGACAATTTCATATGCACAATGACCATCTCGCCGTACCAACAATCGGCAGTGCGGGGGAGAAACGAGGAACCAAAAAAATCCTACGAGTAGCAGACAAAAGTCAGTGACCNACATCGAATTAGATAGTATTGGATAAGATTGCGATGTTAGATGCCTAGGTTACAAAGATCAAGTAATGTAATTTGATGATTTCTCAGCAAATGAAATCTACCAAAATTAAATCTATGCTTGATTAATTTTTGTTTATCTCAAATACTTATCTTATTGAGTTAAAACTTGTTATACTATGTCGTATCTAAGTCATAAATTTTCATGAGTTAGACGGGGTTTCAATGGATTATTAAATCTATTACAATCTCAATCTATTAAATTTAACCACATGCCAAATATAATTTCTTATTTATTTGGTGAACTAATAACAAAGACAATTTCATAGGCACAATTGACCATCTCGCCGTACCAACAATCGGCAGTGTGGGGGAGAAACGAGGAACCAAAAAAATCCTACGAGTAGCAGACAAAAGTCAGTGACCTACTTTCGTACGTTTTATGGAGTTGTTAAGACTACAACTCCAGACTGTTACTATAAGACCATGCTACTTTTCTCAACGACGTCATTTTTAATCGGCTCTTTCCACTACAAGCTCTTCTCTTCCCTCCTACTTATATCTCCACTATTTTTCCCGTATGTCTATCTCTCCTTTTTCTTTCTGTATCCTTTTCTCCATGGCAAAGCTCAAACCCTTCTTCTGAAGAGAGAACAGGTATTTTCCCTACCTAATTCCTCTCTCTAACTTTCTTGGGTTTTTTCTTAAAAACGACAGTAATGATTTCTAGAGTAATTTGTGGTCTGTTTGATTTGGTTTTCTGAAGTTGCAATGGCTGCACCAAAGGTTGAGAATGATGAAGAGTTTAGGGTTCACGTGTTCTCATCATCGTCAGAGGTGAATATTTAAGAAAATTGTGACTCGGGCTCTTTTGAACTGATTTATTCTGATTGTTTGTAATGTGACGCTTTATTTTTATTATGCTCGAATGTGTTGGATGATCTACCTGTTCAAGAACAGTAAATTTGAAAGTTAACAACATTTCGGTGTCGATGGCAATGAAAATATGATTCCACCAACAATACTAATATTTGGGATGATTCTGAAAATTTTCAAAACTCTAGTTGAATATGCAATTTCTTGAAACTCTGGGATTAAGCAATTTTTGAGAAAAATGATACATTCTTGAATGAACACATGATTCCTATGTCGACGGGCACCAAATTGATGCATTAAGGTCAAGGAGAAGACAAGATTCCCTTGTCTATGGAACTAAATCTTAAACAACAAATTATTCATATGTGAGCGACACATGATTGAAAAGAAAAAAAGTGTGAAACTTGCAAATTTTTGGGTAAGTTGTNTCAAGGAGAAGACATGATTTCCTTGTCTATGGAACTAAATCTTAAACAACAAATTATTCATATGTGAACGACACATGATTGAAAAGAAAAAAAGTGTGAAACTTGCAAATTTTTGGGTAAGTTGTTGATATTGTGGGTAAGTGGCAGAAAATTGGACGGATTGTGACTCTCATCTAGCAGTACCAATTGTAATATATGTAGTGATCAAAATCCCCAGTAACAATAGTTATCATCTCCAGATGACTGATACTTACTTGGTTAAACATTGCTCTGACCCTTTAAGTGCTAAAACTGCACTTCCTATGGTTCTATTTGTTAATCAACTTTGACTTTCTCTTTTTGATTCCTTTTTTTTTTTGGCTTGTTTCGTTGCATTGGTCAGTTGCTTGAAAAGTTGCATGAAAAGTGGAATTCGGTGAAGGAGCTGCCATATTCAGCAATGTATTCCAGTGTTTTTGGGGGAATTATTCTTGATCCAGCAATGATGGTCATCCCAATAGATGATCATATGGTTCATCGAGGACATGGTGTGTTTGATACAGCTATTATTCTTGACGGGTAAGGAACCTCGGTTGGAAATACGCATTTACATTTTTCTACCTTAGATTAGAAACTAATTTATAAGGTTTCTGCGCAAGGATCAGTTGTCCAATATGTATTTGAGTTATGAATTTTTAACCATGCTTGTAAATTGTAATTCAACTCACATTTCAGATTTTCTTTGAGTGATCCCTGTGTAACGTATGGAATTTTCCTTTCCCTGTTCTTGTACCTGAGGAGTCGTTGATTCTCTTTAGTGTATCTTGGAAGGGTATTTTATGCATAAATAACTTGATTAGTGGTTATTACCAGAAGTCTCTAGCATGAATTTCTTAGTTGAGCCTTTGAAAGGGATCATCATAAGACTTTTAGGCGCACCTGGGGAAGGACTACCCTTAATATGCGCAATTAAGAAGCGATACTGAATTAATTGATAAAGAGACAAAACGAACATCTGCAATCTTCTAAATTGTTATACTCCACAAATTACCTAATCATTTAGAGGGAACTTGTGTAGTTAAGTTGAGCCAGTGTAAGCTTATGACTTGGTGTTAAGTTTTTGGGTTTTTCATGATCCAGTAGTACTCTTTTGTGCCTGTTCTGTTTTTGAACGCTGCAAGTGTAGGAACCTCTTAAATCCATTGTTTTACACAGATACCTCTATGAGTTGGATGACCACCTTGACCGCTTCCTTAGATCAGCATCAAAAGCAAAAATCTCATCTCCCTTTCCACAGTCAATCCTTCGAAGCATTCTTATTCAGCTTACAGCAGCTTCACAGTGCAAGAAAGGAACTCTAAGATACTGGTTGAGTGCAGGGCCTGGGGATTTCTTACTGTCTCCTGCAGGATGCCCTACATCTGCATTCTATGCTGTAGTGATTAATGAAAACTTCTCGCAATGCAAGGAAGGTGTTAAGGTGATAACATCAATGATCCCTATGAAATCACCTCTGTTTGCCACTATGAAGAATGTAAATTACCTCCCAAATGTGCTCTCCAAAATGGAAGCTGAAGAGCAGGGAGCATTTGCGTCCATCTGGATTGACGAGGAAGGTTATATTGCAGAAGGTCCGAATGTGAATGTGGCTTTTATAACACATGGCAAGGAGCTTGTTTTGCCTGTGTTTGATAAGATCCTTAGTGGCTGCACTGCATTAAGGCTTCTTGAACTAGCACCCAAGTTGGTCAAGCAGGGGCGTTTGAAAGGTGTAAGAACTGCCAATCTTACCGTGGAGGAAGCCAAAGGCGCAGCTGAAATGATGTATGTTGGAAGCACACTTCCAATCTTGCCAATCATCATGTGGNTTAGCACCCAAGTTGGTCAAGCAGGGACGTTTGAAAGGTGTAAGAACTGCCAATCTTACCGTGGAGGAAGCCAAAGGTGCAGCTGAAATGATGTATGTTGGAAGCACACTTCCAATCTTGCCAATCATCATGTGGGATGAGAAACCCATTGGAAATGGTAATGGACTATTCTCTTATTTCAATTTAACTTAAAAGTGAAATGAGGCCTTTAATTTGCTTCCCTTCTTTGATAAAGGATGCCAACTTTGAAAGGGTTGATTACCATTTTGCATCAAATTGTGTTTGTACTGTCACATGTTCTTTAGATCAAAATGCCTGAGATTAGTACAATTTGTCTAATTGTGTCTCCAGGGTAGTGACGTACTATAAATTGTAAAACTGCAAGCGTCCGCATAATTTACATGTTTATGTGGTTAACGGTAGAATGAGGACCCTTGCACGTCCTTGCTCAACAAATTGTCTATAGCCAAGATCGTAATCTAGTCCCAATAAACAAAAAAGGTCTTGATCTAGTTAAAAGGGGTTGGTTATGTTGTTGTTTTGTTACAGGAATGGTGGGAGAATTGACAATGGCACTCTCAGATCTGCTTTGGGAAGATATGGCGACAGGACCCGAAACAAAGAGGTTACTTGTTCCTTATGCCTAATAGAGCCAAGTTATTCAAACTAGAGGAGGATGCTGAAAAAATGCATCGAATAGTGTGTATGGTATCATTGCTGATGGTAATCATCGTTGGGTACTTAAAGCAAATGCCCTTTGTATGTTTGTATCAATGGCTTCTATGTTTATAAATATTGGAGTCTAGTCTTAAAAAGTTCTGCTAGATTGCTTTGTGTGTGGTTGAATGTTAGAGATGTTATTGCCAAAAATTGATCCAAAGCATGGCAAGCTGTTTGGAAACTTGAGTCTGTGAGTGAAAAAAGATTAAAATAGATAATGGAAATGACACCAAATTCATCCTCCTTTTTCAAATAGAGTAAGATAGATGGTGCGCTTTGGAATAAAGGACAATGCCCACCTAAATATTCTTTAGGCTTAGCAAATCTCAAATAAGTCCTCAATTCGATACATAATAATTACGAAATTATGTCATATAAATTTAATCATAATAAATTTGGATGAAACCCCGATTAATTGGTCATACACGTTTAGTAATCGAGTTGATACAAACTTGATTATACATGTCATAAACCTAATTATACTTAACTAACTCTACACAGCTTACATATGATCTAAACCTTGGCAGGATTATAAATGTATCATTTATAATTCAATAATATTATTAAAATATAATTTATTAATATATTATATTGATCTAATATATTACAACTATTACATTGATAATCAATTTTAAAAATATTATGACCCATAATAACTAAGTCTATCAAAGTCCGATACGATACGATTAATCGACACAAATTAAGTGGGTTTGCGTGAGACCTTAACAAATTTGAGTGGTAAACGGGTTGATCCGTTAGACAAGTTTAATAAATAGATTGTGTTCGGGTGAAATCTATCAACTTATTTATCATCCGTTTAAATAAAATTAATATAATACTAAATTAATAATTATTTTAAAAAATTAGCCAATTTTTTTTTTAGTGACAANATTAACAAATTTGAGTAGTAAACGGGTTGACCTGTTAGACAAGTTTAATAAATAGATTGTGTTCGGGTGAAACCTATCAACTTATTTATCATCCGTTTAAATAAAATTAAAATAATACTAAATTAATAATTATTTTAAAAAATTAGCCAATTTTTTTTTTAGTGACAACCACAAAAAATATATAAGTAATCTAAAATTGTTAAATTGCTAGTTTTATAAAGTTATATAACATTTTTAAACAAGCAAGTAAATGGGTCTTATATATGGGTTTACTATGTTAACCCGACCCTACTCAATAGGATTCATTTAAAACTAACCGGGTTAAACGAGTCATATCGTGTTACCCGTTTATTAAACGGTTTGTGTTCGTGTTGNTATATGGGTTTACTATGTTAACCCGACCCTACTCAACAGGATTCATTTAAAACTAATCGGGTTAAACGAGTCATATCGTGTTACCCGTTTATTAAACGGTTTGTGTTCGTGTTGAGGTTCTTTACCAATTTATTAAATGTGTCGTGTATGAATTTATACATGTTTTCACCCATTTATTAAATGTGTCGGGTATAAATTTATACCTGTTTTTCCCTCGTCATATATTTAATTCAACACGTAACCGTTTAACTCAACATGATTATTGCCCCTAATAATAACAATGAATGNGTTTATTAAATGTGTCGGGTATAAATTTATACATGTTTTTCATTCGTCATCTATTTAATTCAACACGTAACCGTTTAACTCAACATGATTATTGCCCCTAATAATAACAATGAATGATTTGTCGGTTGGTCTCATTGAAAAGAGTTAACAGAATTAACTGATCCAAGGGCTTATATTGATTTGAGATACAATTTGATATCCCAATTTTTGGATGGAAAAACAAATAACACAACCGGATCCTTAATTTCAAGGTAACTATTTGACCCATGCAAAATAGGTTTCTGCCCACGGCCCACCCGGATTCATCACTCCAGTGTCCAGAGTGCAGCTGTCTCGTGAACCCCTAAATATGGAAAGGGGGAGACGAAAAGACAGTCTCCCAAAAATGGTACACGCGAAAGAGAATATGAAAAGAATGGGAGTCGGAAAGAATATGAAGCAAGTACCAGAGAGAAAAAGAGAAATCATTTCGACATTGTTGAACCTAGGGTTAGGGTTTCCAGAGATCGATGGCGACAAGTGCACAAGAGCAAGGCACTGCCGCGAAATCAGGACTGAGAAAGCCTGTGTTCGTTAAGATCGACAGTCTCAAGCCGGGGACGAACGGCCACACACTCATCGTCAAGGTTGTGGATTCCAACACTGTACTCCAGAAGGGCCGCTCGGTGTCTCAGCACCTTCGCAACACGCGCATCGCCGAATGTCTTGTTGGGGACGAGACCGGCGTGATCGTATTCACTGCTCGCAACGAGCAAGGTATATGAGTTAGTTGCTCTGATCTAAACATTGTTTGCGGTACTGTTGGTTCCTTTGAAACCTTAGAAATGATTTCAGCTTTGTTATTTCTTGGATTTTGGGTTTTTTGGATCTAAATATGTGTATGGATGATATTATTGGGGCTAGTTGTGGAATCCTAATTTTAAACCCTGGAAACTGACTTTTGGGGGTTATGTGTGGAGCTTATGATACTTTTTGCTTTAGGCATAAACTAATCATTGCGTGCTTCATGAGTTACCTCTGGGAAGTGGTAGATACCATATGTATCTTTCTATTTTGTGAGTTGCTCTTTTGAGTTGAAGAAACTCTAATTTAATGGAACTCTGCAAACATGATTTACCAGTATATCGTGGAGTATCCGCATTCAATACGAAGGTGATCACATTGTAGAAATATTTTTGGTTTGGAAAGTACAAGGAGTAGTAAAAAAAATTTACCTGATCTTATGTTGTGCTGTTTGTTCTAGGGGAGATGTCGTGTGTTTCTAAATGGTTTATTGATATAACATTGATTGGAGTGCTCTAAGAAGTCAGGTTTTTCTGTACCAGTTGTTTTACCCTGTATGGGGTCGTTGTTGCCATTAGCACTTCTTTCAGATTATTGGGTTTGAAGTTGTTCATAGGTTATGTATGACCATTATGAAACTACACCTAAACTTGTGCCCCCATTTTGAATCGTCAATTGAGATGACAATGAACAGCGGACTTTCCTGTGTATCCAAATATGTACAATAGTTTTCTTTTGAGTCACTACAGATGGTGAAGACATAGGCTTTGACATGGTGCAATGTATAAGAAAGTTTGAGGAAGCTAGAGTTGATGATCTATTAGAATACTACGAGTTCTTTGGAGAAATAGGTAGTGATAAACTGACGAAAACCAAAACTCCTCACGCAAAGGAGTTATACTTTATACAAGTGATTAAATATAATTTTATTATGAAGAGTTGAATGAGCACCCTTTATATAGTTCACAACAAGAAGATAATTTTTTTCTGATCACTCCCTCATCATTCTGTGTTTAACCATTTTTATATTGTGCCCTTTCTCTAGTAGACTTGATTTTGTTAACCTCAACACAATATACTTATCAACTTGATATCGAATCGTGATCATGCTTAATTGCTTATTTTATTTTAATCTACTCATGCTGTGACTAACCTGTACAAGAGGTTTCTCCTATTTTTCATTACTAAAACCAGAATTAAAATCAAATTTCTGTTATTTCCCTTCTTGCCTCACTCTCATCATTATGAACTGTATGATGGAAGACGACAACACAAATTTTCTTGTCTTGATTTTTGTTGCCATGGAATTGTGGGGAAATTACTCAAATCATGCCGACACAGTCTTTTGGTACTCACTCAAAGCATGGACTTTCATTGTCTACAATGTTTATCTTCTGGTTTCAGTCATCTATATTCTATTCGTTAGCTCTGTGGAAATTAGAACTTACTAATATATTAAATACTGGATGGGTTCATTTTAATAACCTGTTACTCGTGTTTTTGTGAAATTTTAATTTGAAAAGCATTCTGTTGGTACTTTTGTTTTTGAAACAAACTGACTGTGTCTTTCATACACTTCTACTACATGGTGATTCTTCTTATATTTTTTCCTGCCCAGTTGATTTGATGAAACCCAGTACAACTATAATCCTCCGAAATGCAAAGATCGACATGTTCAAGGGATCCATGAGGCTAGCTGTGGACAAATGGGGCCGTGTTGAAGTTACTGAACCTGCCACATTTGAAGTCAAAGAGGATAATAATCTATCACTTGTTGAGTATGAACTGGTGAATGTTGTCGAAGAGTGATCAGGATCTTTTGGTTGCCGACAAAATGATGTGAAGAAGCATAAAAGTTTAATAGCCATGATGGATGATTATTATGTAGTTATCTTTTAGTATTAGTAGTGCTGGCTGGGAAATGTAAGTACTTGTTGGTTAAGGAAGTGTTTAAACTAGAAAGGAACATGAAAATATTAGTATAATAGGGATCGTTTAGCTTGGCATTTCGTTCTTATCTTGCGGAGTGCAGTGGTTGAAAAGACCCTATCCTTGTTCTTGGGTGGAACTCAAAACAGTGGTAATAGCTTTAGTAACACTCATTTGCAGTGTTCTTGTGGATATTCCCTTTTGTATTTATCTTCATAAAAATAAGTTGATGTGCAGATATGATATCAGGGAGCAATAAGAGCACAATACCCTCACTTAAAGATTATGGCCATCGATTCAGAGTATCGAGACATCGATCATTGCATCGTGAAATGGTTTAGGGAGATGTCCGCTACATAAAAAAAAGTTGAACACGAAGAAAGAAGCAGATTATTACGGGTNCCCTCACTTAAAGATTATGGCCATCGATTCAGAGTATCGAGACATCGATCATTGCATCGTGAAATGGTTTAGGGGGATGTCCGCTACATAAAAAAAAGTTGAACACGAAGAAAGAAGCAGATTATTACGGGTTGAGTAATATACTGTGATCTGATGGTGTCAGTGTCTTGACTGAGTCAACAGATACATTTTTGAGCCATCGAGTAAGAGAGTGATTTGCACAATAGGAAATTCTATGTAATCTAAATTTGTAATTTAAATTTGCATCTCATCTCTTAATTTGAGATTGGATGAGTGGGTTCTATTAATTTTTTTAAATGGGATCCACTAATCCAATAATCTCCCTTGATTTTGAATACAAATTTGAATGGTATATTTAGGTTGCATAGCATTATTTTTGCACAAAACATACTTTTTATCCCCTCACCGAACGGAAAGCGTTGGGGCCACATTCTTTAATCACTTTACACTGAAACAAACTTAAAAGAGGAAAGAAGCCAATGTTTTGGGTGTGGGGGAGGCAAAGAGCCCTAATTTGATCATGTCATTTACGTCAATTGACTATCTAAAGAAACAAAATGATATCAACTAAAGATGGATTGATCATTTTGAAGTGCCCGAAACAGCCACTCAGCAAGTCCCCACAAACATAAGAACTCTTGGACAGATTCAGGACCGAGGATAGAGGTGGTGTTGATTAAAATGTCATCGTTTTAACCCACAACGGCATTGTTTTGTTAATAAATGACAAAGTGTGTCATCGTGAATATAAGGAGAAGGAAGTCTTTTTCTGCTTCCAAGTGTGTCTTCCCACTTGATGTAACTGATATTCGTAATCTCTCTCTCTCTCTCTCTCTCTCTCTCTCTCTCTCTCTCTCTCTCCATATCAAAGCCTCAAACTACTTTTTTTAACCATCCGTAAAGGGCTCTCCTTCTTCATATCCAAATGTCAGAAGGAGAGAATCCAAGGAGATACAATGGAGGATTGTAGGAGAAAATATTGATTACAACTTTGATATCACGTGATAATGTAATGTAGTATCACTAATCAATAATATTAGCATAAACAAACAAATGGATCCCAAAAAAATTAATAACTAATATTTCATGTAAGCAAATAACTCTCACTTTTTCACCCTGTAAGTTCACTTTGTCGCTTGAAGTTTTATTATTGATTGGTGATACTATATCATCAATGGTAACATGGTATCACCGTTGCATTGAATATTTACTTGGATTGCAGGCCATTGGGTTTCCTTATAGACCTGTCGTTTGCTCTTCTTTAATTGATTTTATCTTTTGTGGGTGCTGTTATTTGGGTCATCGGGTTAGTTTCCTCTTAAATTGCTTCATACGTTTTCTTCTGGATATCATTTTCATTTGGAATGATTTAGCCATATCCATTTTCCATATAGTCATACATGATAATAGTTCTTACACAATACAACTTCTATTCGGGATTATTGGTATTTCCTCTTTGAGAAAATTAATAAAAACTCTCAAGTGATGGGGGTGATCAATCATGGTGAAGAACAACCACATTGTGTGTAACAAATTGGATAACAGCAGTCATGCATTACATTTTGTTGTCAATCTTTTTTTTGGGGGGTTTGCTCATAGTTATTATGATGAAAAATAATTTTTTTTTTGGTACAGAGATTGAGATATATATGACGAAACAAGAACTTTTGGGAAGGCTTGTTCTTGTCCATGGCAAAAACTGCCAAGATTGAGAGATATAACGAAAGCTCATTCTATTCTGAAGCATCGAATTGGGAATGACAGGAACATTGAAGCTGCAGCTATGGCTCGATTCGAGTAGGCCACTAGAAGCTTATTCTTTGATGAAGCACTGCACTAGGAATGGCAGGAATATGTGCATATGGTTTGCATTAAGTTATATTGTACCAAACTTTGTATTTTGTCCTTATGAGGACAATTAAACAAACAAGCGCTACTCTAGTTTGGCTCGATTTTAGTTTATTTCAGATCTTGTGTTGTGTATGAACTAAATACGATCAAACAATTAGGCTTGTTTTGTATCCGAGTTGATCAGCCTAAGCTTTGGACCGCTTGGCTTGCTAGGCTTAGCTCGAGTCTATTAGGATTATGCTCATTTTGTTGCAATAAGTTTTCAGCCACAGAGAAAGTCTTATATGCTCTAATGAAGGGTGCAACACATGGAAGGTGGCTTCTACCAACTTTGCTTACACACATAAGCTGTAGACATTCACAGCATCAATTGCTCTGTGGATTCGTCAGGAGGGTTAATATTGATTGAACTAATAACATTTGTGATCCTGATCCTTCACATCTGACTATACTAGGGAGGGACCATAATGCCGAATATACAGAAAAAGAGAAATTTGGTCAGGAATAATATGGAAACTTAAGAGGAATTAGGCTTGTTGGCACATTAAACAAATAACTCTGTTCGACTCTGGACTTGACATTTTCACAATTATTTTGTGCACACTTGAATCCTTTTATGTCACATTTGATGGGTTAAGCCCAAGTAGTCCAATTTATGTATTAAAGCCCAACCCCGGTTGAGGAGCCCAACCTCATTGTGAATCCACCAAGTCCAAGACAGCCCAAGGCCGGCTAGGAAAGCACGGGAAGTTTATCTGCATCTCCTTAAGGAGCCCAAGGCTGGCTAGACTTCTTGCTTAGCACGTCACCAAGAGGAGAGCACGGGAAGTTTATCTGCACCTCCTTAAGGAGCCCAAGGCTGGCTAGACTTCTTGCTTAGCACGTCACCAAGAGGAGAGCACGGGAAGTTTATCTGCACCGCCAAAGGAAACAGTCCAAATCCACCAAGTCCAAGACAGCCCAAGGCCGGTTAGACTTCTTGCTTAGCACGTCACCAAGAAGAGAGCACGGGAAGCTTATCCGCACCACCGAAGGAAGGAAACGGTCCAATCTTTGACCACGTTTCATGAAGAGCTCCCCAACCTCTTCCTTCCGTTGAGGATAAGTCGTGATCTCCACCAAAGATAATCTCTAAGCTGCGATAAAGAAGCCTTGAGGATATGTCATGATCTCCACAAGAATTATCTCTTAGCTACTATAAAATGACTCTAATCTGGGAGAGGAGAGACACACACCCCACCAGAGGCATACAGAAGACGAACCGACTACCGGAGATTATTATTCTTTGATTCTCCATTCTCTCTCTCAAAGCTTGTATCTCCATTCTCCATACCTTTNGATCTCCACCAAAGATAATCTCTAAGCTGCGATAAAGAAGCCTTGAGGATATGTCATGATCTCCACAAGAATTATCTCTTAGCTACTATAAAATGACTCTAATCTGGGAGATGAGAGACACACACCCCACCAGAGGCATACAGAAGACGAACCGACTACCGGAGATTATTATTCTTTGATTCTCTATTCTCTCTCTCAAAGCTTGTATCTCCATTCTCCATACCTTTGAATCAATAAAATACCCGGCAACTGAAGCCATTGAAGAGTGGACGTAGGTCGAATTGACCGAACCACTATAAATTGTGTCTTCTTTAATTNTCTCCATTCTCTCTCTCAAAGCTTGTATCTCCATTCTCCATACCTTTGAATCAATAAAATACCCGGCAACTGAAGCCATTGAAGAGTGGACGTAGGTCGAATTGACCGAACCACTATAAATTGTGTCTTCTTTAATTTTCTCATTGATTTCATTGCATTTATTATCTATACTTGACAGGTGGTGTGCAAAACTATTTTTGTGCATCATCAACATTCATTCTATTAAACTTTCACTTTTGAAGTTTGATAAGTTTTATACTCTGTTTTGAGTTACTCAAACATAGTTCTTCTTTTTATTCCGACTTAAATTCTCCCGTATAAAAAATAAACACCAAGCGCGTCAGAGTCATGCAAGTCTTTTCATCCTATTGAGGTGTACATTTTGCTTGCTTCATCTTTATATATTCGTGTGTATTTATATGATTCACCATAATTTCTAATTTGTTTGTCATTCTCCAATAAATGATGTGGAGCCGAAGGCGACCAATTAGGATTCATGTACATAAAATAAGAAAGCCATAAGGGCATGTTTGGATGTTTTTTGCGGAGGTCCATTGAATTGGTTTTGTGAAGCTTTTCCAAACCCAGTCCCAAAGATTTGTATACGAGATTCAAACAAAAATCTTATCGAATTTCATGTTTGGTATGTGATTAAATATATGTAGGATCTATGAATTTATATTAAATTATATTACTCAATTGATTAAAATGTTCATTATTAAGTGAATAGAAGAATGAGTTTTTTAGATAAAATAATATTTTTATTTATAAATCTCAAATCTCACTTTTGAAATTCACCCTCGTTTCATCAAACCTCCGTGCATGAATTTTAATTCACTATTCATTGCATGCAGAGATTTATTTATCCTATAAATTCTGAACCTCAAATTTTAAACCAAATGTGAGTTTAAAAGGTACATTAAACTATTTTTATAAAACTCACGCTTTAAATTCTATTCAAAACCATGTACCAAACATATCCTCAAAACACAGAATTATTGGATGTGGGAATGTCAAAATCATTCTCCCTATTATTATACCTATAGATCACAGATGCATGAATAGAGACACTCTTAACCACCATCATTACGTAAGCGTGGGGAAGGCTCTGCATCCATTCAAACGACATATCATCTCTAGCATTGGACTTTTTGATTTGAGAAAACTCCTAAAAACACAATGATTTGACCATCATAAATATGGCCTTACCCATGACATTTGAGTTGAGAAAACTTTCATATTAGGACTGTTAAACAAATCAATCTATTCCTATTTGATTTGGGTTTTAGTCGATTTGGATC